TATAACAAAAAATACATAATTACATCTAGAACACAACCCGATAGCTGAATAAGACAGCTCATGAGCCAAAGCTAGTAGGATGACAGATCCGAAAATTACTTAGAAGCTAACAATAACCCACAACGCACCCACAAACAAACCACAAACTAAACTAAGAAGTTCCATAACTTGCGAATGAACACTCCCCAACGGGAAAAAGCACAAACTACATTAACACGAAAAAGAAAAAAACACACAACAAAATGGACTCCAAACAAAACAAAAACTAGACAAAAAGAATTAACTAGGCCTTTCCCACAGCGAGCAGAACACATAGAGCAACACGATGGCGAAACAAACTTGTATAGCCCGGTCCACCATGGAATCATAGATCATCGCTTTAGATAAACCATGTGAAGAAGCAGAATGACTTCGAAATTTTTTAAGTGATATTCCATATTGGAATAAGACTTTGTCGCCTGTGATGATTCACTGTGATAGCCAAGCTGCTATAGGAAGGGCACAAAGCAACATGTACAACGGTAAGTCTAGACATATTCGTTGCAGACATAATGTTGTTCGTCAATTGATAAAAAATTGTATTATTCCCATTGACTATGTAAAATCTAAGGAAAATTTGGTTGATCCTTTTACTAAAGGAATGAATAGAGATAAATTGAGAATATTTGCTAGAGGGAATTGACTTAAAAATCCACAATGAAAAGAATGATCATAGTGGTAACCCTACTTTGATAAATGGAGATCTCATAAACTTGGTTCAACGGGAAAACTAAGCTATGAAAATTTAGTTAAGCACTTGGAAAATAAGAATGTCCAAATATTAATCCCTAAAGCAACCCAAGTGCAATATTACCTGTTGATTGTGGTGAGGAAAAGTTATCTTGACTTTTAATGAATCCCTAACCTTGTAAAGGTGGAGTACTACAGGATACTCTTGATAGGGAGGTAACCTATATAAGTATAATGTGAGTCGTTTCAAAAGTAAACACTTATGAATCCAAATGTTTGTCCATGGCCAAAACAGACACAACAATAGAACGCAATTGAGTTAAAACTTTATTGTGTAAAGATCATTGTCTTGGTGTACACGATTGAAGAATAGTTCAAGGCATTATGTCTACTAGGCCGCCAGTACATCCGATGATGTTTACTAAAAAAAGTTCAAAGCCACAAACTACCTTTTCTGATGCGATAGTGTTTTGTGAGGATAGAGCACAAGAGTCTATATATATGTGTATTTCTTTACTTTATCTTCTGTGGGGAATTATTAGAAAAAGATAAAGAAAATAGGTAGATATTTCCTCCTCACATGCTAAGATGCTTTTTTCCAACATGTCCACATGCAACTTGCATCATGCCCACATGCCAATTAATTAAAAAAAATTATTTTATATTCAATTGGGAAGGATTACCTCCCTTATAAATAAGCATTCAGCCAGAAAGA